ACATTGCCAATGCAAGTAATAAATAATATATAAAAAGTTTGATGCTGTGCCAGAACACGGTTAAGCACATAACAAATAGGCCTTTGTCTCCTTCTTTATGTCGTTAATATTTATAGCAGTAGTAGCAGTAGCAGCAGGTACACAGGTGTGTCTGGCCCATAATCCTGCTCACTCTGCTAAAATACATTGCACTGATTTCTTTCTCCCTCTCCCTTTGCCACGCATATCCTTCTTTTCTTTCTTACTGTTTTACACAAGTTGCCCCTCACCTTCTTTCCTATCGCTTATATGTAAATCCGACTATTCCCTGATTATAAATACATATACATGACTGGGGCAGTACATCCTACCTATCTTAAGTCTTTGCCACTCAAATTTACCAGAGCAATATAGAATGTAAGGAAGGGGTAGGGAAGCCTACCCACGATCCTTTACATGGGCCATTCTTTAAAACAGAGTTTAACTTCCCAACAAACATTTTAATATTGTTTTTGTTTGTTTGTTTGTTTCTGGTTTGCATGTTCCTACACCCAGAGAATAGGTTTGAAAGTCTTCCTTAGTTACACTAATGAAATCTCATTTTCCTTTTGTATTTTAGCTGAGTTAAAGAGTTCAGGAAGGAGAGAAGTCACCAGCCAGGCGTAGGCATAAGGATGCATTTCACTTCTGAATTAATTCGGGGATCAAGTACCCTTCTGGCAACAGGACAAACAGGTTCATCAAGAGCTTTGGCTCAGTGGTGTACAAAGCCCTTCAGAATCCCAATGCTCACCTGCATCTACCCCAAGCTCCCGGCCCCCAAAGAGATGATGACAGGTCCTTGTTCCGGCTCTGTGTGCTGAACTTGGTCTCACGCCCACTGGGGGATCTGAAACATGGACACTGCATCCCACAGAGCCAGTGCCAAGATGACTGCCTCACATCTGCCCCTTACCAGGCTGCAAAAAGACCTCGCTACCTAACCTTATCATTAAATCTCCCAAAATGGCAGGACAGGTAGAAACCACTGGCTGAGCAAGAGGTTGATGTCTAGAACTTCAGAACAGAGAAGGGCCCACACATCTGGCATGGCATCTTTTAAGAAATTGATTCTGAGAAACCTCTCTTTCTATGGTCAGTCCTATTTTTAGGCTCCACACATGTGTGGAGCCTCTGCACATGTGTATTCCTCCTTCTTTGAAAAGTCAGCTGAATGCTCTAAAGAAGGGCAATTGGCACAGTTCTTCAAACCGGGGTGCTAAAGATGCACAGCATTAGTATAGGACTCAGGAATAGGGATGGGATAAAGAGGCACTCCTGAAGTGACCTGCATGGGTAAGGAAGGACACAGAGAAAGCAAACTGGTAGACATCTCTAAAAGATCTTCTCTAAGCAAATCTCTTTATATTACCCATCTCTCCAGTACTCTTTGTGTTCCTCTTAGAACATCACTTTCAACATTATATTAGTCACACATGGTACATCCACACCCAGAGTGTGGGCTCCCCTCTGACACCATGTCTTGCTGTATCTGATTTATCTTTGCATCCCACTCAGAGGTGTACACATATTTGTTTTGAAAGAACACTGAATGAATAAGTGGACATATTTTCAACCAGTGACACATGGGACTTATTTATGGTCAGAAGATCTTGCTCTAGTAGTTTTCAGTAAATTATCTAATATCATTTGCCTTCATATGAAGATAAAATAACTGAATGGCTAAGGTAGTTACTTTGGTGATGCCCAATGAACTATGCCATCCAACTCCCATGCCCTGTCTAGTCCTTTTTCAGCAGAGGCTGGCTGAGGACTGCATGGTGGGACTTATCCTGGATTGCAGGCTCTTGGCAGCCCTGAGATGCTGTGTAAGGAATTCTGTCCAGCCTGCTGAATCAAACAAATGGAAAGACCATGGAAGAAGGCCATGTGGAAAGGCCATGCCGTGAAAGAGGCCAGCCACGTCTGAGTCCCAGAAGAACAAAGCCCAGTCCAGGATGAGAAATAATAAAAGGGTTGTTGTTTTAAGCCATTAGGTTTTGGAGAGAACTGTCACTTAACAATAGAAATCGTTGCTTTCTTCATGGAATGATTGGGACTAATCACACACTTGTGGAGGGGCTTTGTAAATGGCCATGTGCTAAGCATTTGTGAGGGGCTTCTATCTCTGGGCATAGGTGCAGGTTGAGTTTCATGCTGATTTATAGAAATATGTCCATTTAAAAATTAGCCCAAGGGAGTCCATTCTCTTACAAAGCAAAAAGTAATGTTCCTATCTAACATTAAGAATAATATAACCTTTGGTATAACCTTTATATCCAATATAACTTTTGGTTTCTTCTATAGCCTATTTTCTTTTTACCTGGGCAGCCTTCTGCACTTGTGGGGAAGACAGGGAAGGGGGCTGGTGAGATGCACACTCATAGCTTCATGAAAACTAAAATTTATAAATTGCCATCTAAACAAAATAGGAAAGATGTACCACTTTCATTTATCTTAAGGAATGGAGTTAATTTGAGAACTAGTCAATGCTTATACTAGTTATAAATATAAGTAGCAAAAACCCTTGAGAAGGCTGAGCTAGAGAGAAGGGAGAGGGAGTCAAGAAGGTCCATATCCAGAGTTGACCAGGCTCAGAGGAATTGAATTATATCAATCAAATTCCCAAGAGACCCCAGTGACAGTTCATCCACTTGCAATAATAAATGTAATTTCCAGGCCAGAGTGCCAGGCTCTCAGGTAGTGGGAAAACAGATACCCTAAGCTGCAAAGGGGCTCTGTGTCTGGAAATGGCATGGGGGTGGGGCAAGGACAAGCTCCTAGAGCCATGAGTGGGGGTACATTTTGAGTGTGCTGAGCAATGAAAGTGGACTGTTACAGGAAGCCTAGATTGTGCCTCCTTTTGTGCACATGGAACCTGTAATCTATTTCTAACCAGGCTGAGAGGTTGCTTTCTGCTATTATAGTTTATGAGTTATCGGGAGATGTTAGGGAGATGCCCTCCTTCTCTCCAAAGGATAGTGGAAAACTCCCTTCTTGCATGAAAAACGGGATAACCATGGAAGGATTTGGAAAATTCACGAAAGACCCTTAGCAAGCCCAGGTCAGACACTTCTCATTCTTCATCAAAAAAAAAAAAAAAAAAAAATTTTCTCATGTAACCTGCACCTAGTATTTTAAGTCTATATCATAAGGTTTGCTTATATGCTAGACCCTAAACTTTGAATTAGAATTATTTCATTCATCTTTATCTAGTCAGTCCCAGCATAGTCACTGTCACACAGGGCTATTCAATAAATACATGTGCAGTTAACTAAAAGTCTAATGTTTCTAGAATTTTAAACATTGCAACAGCTTCTCACTTGGAATGTTAATGTTACCCCTTTGTCATGATTTGAGAATGAGAAAAGGTAAAGGTCACTAGATCATATGTCCCTCTATGAGAAACCTGCCGCTCAGCTGGACTCCTCTGGTGGCCCTTTTGGTCTCTTGGCTTTGGACAGCATGGAAATTAATCCTACTAAGACTGGACCTCTCACCCTAGCCCAGGATGCATCAGCCTAGGCTCCCAAAGACTTCATGCCTCGCTGAAATCAGGTTTTCTTTAACCTGTGCTCATTCATTCTTGCAGAACCTTCCCCAGATCAAGTGATCCTCTTCTTAGGCGATATAGGGAGCGAGACATGAACCCTTTTGCAGGTCCGTGGCTCTCCATGGCGGTGAGGCTGGAGGTCAACGCGCTGCGCGTCCCAATGCGGGAATTCCACACCACACCAGGCGGGGCATGCGAGGTTTGGGCGCGGACAACTCACGCTGGGGTCAAACCGGGAGGGAGGCGTTGCTGCTGCCCTTACAGCTGAGAACACCGAGACACCCTTAAGAAATATTTAGCAAAATCATTTTATTTACTGTGAAGATCTTGTAACTTGACCCAAGCAGAGCTGTACTGGGTCCTGCAAACATTCCTAAAATCTGAACGCAGTGCATATGTCCCTCTCTGTCCCTCACGCCATTTCAGGCCAATATCTCATTTAATACCTCGGACGGCATGAGGCAGTTGACAGCAGTTCATTCCGTCGCTCTCCTTTCCATTCTACTTTTTGCACCCTATTCTGACTTCAAGGAAGTAATTTGGGGTGGTTATGGGAGCACAGCAAGAAAGAAGGTGCTAAGCTTGGCTGGGTCCAGGAGAAATATTTATAAGTCTTTACCTTGAATTCCATCTAGTCTTTCCCAAAGTTGACTGCCCCTTAGAACTACTTGGGAAGCTTTCAAAACAATTAATGTCTGGATATCACCCCAGAGGGTCTAATTTAATGAATCCTGGGTGTTGCCTGGGTATCGGAGTTTTTTTTTTAACTCCAAAGTTTATTTCCAGGTTGCAAACTACTAATCTAAATTCCCAATTTCTCTTTCCACTCTGACCAAAAAAAAAAAAAAAAACCATGCTGAGCCCAGGTCAGGGACCCAGGAATTCTCTGAACAACTCCTTTACGCCGCCCGCCAGTGCAGCAAAGTCTTGGAAAATCAGCGCGCGCGCCGATGCTAAACACTCTGGAGCGGCTGGGCGGGGCCGGTAGGTGGTGCCCCTCGGGGCCCCGCCCCTGCACGCCTATCGGCGCGCGGTGCGGGCCCTGACGTCACTCTTGTCAGGGCCGCGGCACATGGGCTGCCGGATGCGCTGAACCCGGCGCTGCTGGGCCGCGGAGCGCGGGGAGCAGCGACTGCAGGCGCGGGGAGGGGGGTGGGGTGGGACGGCGCGGCGCCGCGGGTGCTCGCACTGGGGGCTAGGGACGGGTTGGTGCCTTCTGTCCTTCTGCAGCCGTCTCTCTCTATATTTTTTTCTTTCTATTTTGCAATTTTGAACATTTTTGCAAGACGAGGGGTTCAAGGCAGGTGAGAGCATCCTGCGCGTCGCCGTGGAGCCCGCGGGCACTTGGCGCGCCCTCCTGGGACTGTCTGCACGCAGAACCCCAAAGTTGTTTTTGATTTTTTTAAAGAAATATTTTTATGCAGATGTATTTATAAAGATATAAGTATTTTTTTTTTCTTCCCGTGTCTCTCCACCGCTTTGAAAGCGAGTTCTTTGGCAAAGAACGGAGGAAAAGCTCAGCAATATTTCGGGGGGTGATTGTCTTTCTTTTTGAAAGAAAAAAAAACTGAGTGCTTCGCGATGGAGAAAATGTCCCGACAGCTCCCCCTGAACCCCACCTTTATCCCGCCTCCCTACGGCGTGCTCAGGTCTCTGCTGGAGAACCCGCTGAAGCTCCCCCTTCATCACGAAGACGGTGAGCGCTGCAGCGGCCGCCGCCGCTTCTTCCATCCGGGCTGTCCCGCTCTGGGGAGGGACGACGCTCCCGGGGTCCCCCCTCCTTGGCCAGGCACCCGGTTGGCCGGCTGAAGCATCTCTCCCCTTCCTTCCCTGACCCACCAGCTCTCCAGCCTCGCTTTGTGGAAATTAAGGAGCTCACCCATCTCCCATCCTCCTCAATAAAAAGAGGTGATCTCTCCTCACCAACATTTACAATAGCGCTGGGGACCTGGCCCAGCATCCACGGGGACCAGCTCGTGCAGCGCAGGTGGGAGATAAACTTGACAGGTCAGGATTGGTGCTTAGAATAACGAGAGAGTGGAACCGCCTGCGGGAGGACAGAGCCTCCACGGTTGGGGAGGAGATATTGGGGGCCTAGTAGGGGTTGGAGGCTCCAGTTGAGAGGGTCTTCAAGGGCGTAGCCTGAGTATTGGAATTGTGTTACTGCTTCTGTTGTTGTTTAGTATTTAAAACTCGAGGAGGTGTGAGTGGAGACGCATTTTCTTCCGCTGAAGGGTAATTGAAACAGCGGGGTGGGGGCTGGTGGGGGGAGTGGTCTCTCGGCTGTAAGCCGTGCACGCCTCCAGCGCTGACACTTTGCCGGTGCACTTTTCCTGGTGGGAGGAGAGAACGGAGCAGGCTCACGTGTAATCGCGCAGGAGCCTCCTCTGGCCTGAGCCCTTTCGTGGTAAGTCCCCAACCTTCCCTAGACAACCTTGGCTGTAGCGCTAGAGGAGGGGTACGTAGATGAGAGGAGGCCTGGAACCCCACTGATGCCCCCAGGGATTTGTCATTGGGCCAGTGCGGTTTCATGCTTTTGATTTCACAGTAACAAATGCGAATCGTGCAGCTCATGCATAAAGTCTTGAAACATTATTGAGCTGCACATAGCTTCAGAGTATTCACATCTTTTCTGGGAGGGGACAACCTGTTGCATTGCAAGAGCTGGGGTGTTTGGTTGTGGTCTGCAGACCATTCCCTACCTCTTCCCTTACGGAATAGCACTTTGGAGGAAGGGTCTGGCTGCAGGCTTTTGCTTCTGTGGGTGTTTTAAACCAGATTCTCAGATGAGACTGTAGAGAGCTAGAATGGAGGCAGTGTTTCTGTGAGCTAAAAACCCAGAAGCAAATTCCTTAATCCCAGTTCCACCCACTCCTGAGTACTAGAATTGGCAAAATCTAGAGCGCCTGTTAAGGACCTAATCTAGCGAGCAGTATTTCCATATACAAAATAGCTGCACAATTCTATCAGAGGTATGTAGAATAACTCACTTTTTCCAATAGCCCAGCTTTTGACGTTTGCATAGATGTATCATTTTTGTGACTTGGATAATACTTAAGTGTTTGAGGAAGAGAAAGAAGAAAACACTTTTTATTTACTCCTTTTGTAAAACAAAACAACAAAAAACAATGGTGCCCTTGCAGCTTTCAAAGCAGCAGTAGATACTATGTGCCCAGTGGCTTTCAAAGAAGAGTAGGTACTGGATACAAAGTATTAGAAAAGGGTGGAGAGTCTCTGCTTTACTAAGATTAAGAGCACCAACACACTGTGTGGCTTTGTAAGTCTCTGCGACCTCATATTGTTTCTGTGATAAATTTCGGAAAGATAAGTCAAGCCAGGTTTTTGGTGATTTTCTTAAAAATCACATCCATTGTATGTAATCCCAGGTGCTATTTTCTCACTTTATAGATTTCAATAATTTATCTCCTCAAATAATCACTGAAGACTGTTCTCTTGTTTTTATCCCAGATCAGCCTGTAGCCCTGTCCTACTGACAGTGCTTTCTTTCCAAAGTAAATAGGAAGAATGTTAAAAAACAGGCAGAGATCCATGTCCTGCCTGAACTTTTAACTCTAAATCCACAAAACAGCAGCCAGCAGACCCTGGTGCTCCTGAGTGCTTTTTGTAACAGACAGGGTGGTCAGAGCGACTTTTCTTTCTTCTTCTTTTAATCCCAATTTTTCCTTCTTCTGCAGCATTTAGTAAAGATAAAGACAAGGAAAAGAAGCTGGATGATGAGAGCAACAGCCCAACGGTCCCCCAGTCAGCATTTTTGGGACCCACCTTATGGGACAAAACCCTTCCTTACGACGGAGATACTTTCCAGTTGGAATACATGGACCTGGAGGAGTTTTTGTCAGAAAATGGCATTCCCCCCAGCCCGTCCCAGCATGACCACAGCCCTCACCCTCCTGGGCTGCAGCCGGCTTCCTCAGCCGCCCAGTCGGTCATGGACCTCAGCAGCCGGGCCTCAGCACCCATTCACCCTGGCATCCCATCTCCAAACTGTATGCAGAGTCCCATCAGACCAGGTAAACTCTCTGGGAAGACTCTCACTCTAATGGGGAGGAGAGTGAAGGGGAGGGGTTGGAGGGAGGTGGCACCACTGTCCCGACACTCCTAGGTTTCAGCACGTTCCACCCACAGCAGAGGCTCTTCCACTGCAGTGAGCATCTGTGCCACTCACCTGGAGAGTCAGTTGAATGCACTCTGCAGACCTACCCCTGGAAATTTTGGGGTTTTTTTTTCAGGTCTGGGGTAAGGGCCCAGAAATATGTATTTTAGCTAGTTTCCCATGGGAAACTGATCCTAGGAATAGCAGAATAAACTATACCCTCCTGCAGATAATGGCAGGGATAATTTAAGCATCTATCTTATCTCCTATTTCTTTTCCCCATTTCCCAAACACATAGCTAATAGGATTTTGCTGCATGGTTTGGGTAGATATTTTATAAGGCTTGGTTTATCTCTGTTTATTCTTCTATTGCCTGAAGTGCAGACATGTGAATAGAGGTAGGTCAGGTATTTTTTTTTTCATTCATCTTGTTTTGTCACTGAAGAATCAACTCTAAAAGCAGGTATCATATTAACTGAGGTTTAGCCTCTTCCTTCTCTCACCCATTGCCATTTCTGTGAACCAAACTGTTCTTACATTTTGTTTTTATTTTCATTTGGCCATCAGAGTCCATCTGTATCAAAGCCCACAAGGCTGCAAAGTCAGCTGTAAATGATGTTGAAATATTACACAAAAATACCACCTGAAGAGGGCTAGTGCTTTAAAATCCATTGCTAAGTGCACAGAGATTAAACACAGATTGAGGCAACTCTGGATTCATGCCTTTAGCACCCCATAGTACAAAGGGAACAGGAAGAAAGATCATTTCATGTGCCCAGGTAACCAGGAACAAGGATTCAGCCTGATTAATTGACAGGAAGGTCACCAAGCAGAGGGCCTTCCCTGCAGGGGAAGACAAAAAGCAGGACAATGTGAGACTTGTGTAGGAGATTGTTACTGAACTCCATGTCCTCAACTCATGCAGACATTTCTGTGACATGCGGAGTGAGATTTAAGTGGAAGGAAATGAGGTGAAGGAGGAAGAGAATACCTGTGCCTTGATACATTAGTATTGAAGTTCAAGTTCACCCTTTTAAATATATCTGGCCTTTCAAATCCCTCTTGTCCCTTCTCCAAAACCCACTTTGAAGGATAACTCTAGGCCACTGGCTGGAATGGAACAAAGTCTTAACCTCCCATCAACCCTGGAGGCTGCAGGAACCTGAGCAAACACTCCTTTAAGGGAACTGGGACCCCTTCTGCATAGAATGTCTAGTGCCACTCTCTTCAGTTTCTTCCTGGGAACAGACAACCAGCAAAATACATAACTCTTCCAAGAGGAAAGACGGCTGGGAGAAGGAAGCCGAGCCCCAGGGGTCACACGTGTTGGAGCTCAAGTCACTCTGCTGTGCAGTGAGACCTTTGCTACTTCAAACATGTTTGACCTTAGCAAATGGCATGGCCTCTTGGAGACTCAGTTGCCCTTAGTGTCAAAGGGTATAATTTTTATTTGATGGGGTTGTTGTGAGAATTACAAGGTCAGGTGCATAAAGTGTCTGATGACTTGCACTGGGGTCCCATTATTGGGAGGGGGATTGCCGTCCTTGTTATAGCTGTATCAGCTTTAACCATTTATTCTAATCCTCATCTTCTGAAATACCTTCTTAAAGTCATTAGGTAGAGTGTACATCCTTCCTCTGGAGGGAAGTGTCAGATTTTGCCCAGTAGCTTTTGGACTGTCTTATTGAGAGTCAAAAAATCAGGATTTTGGAATTTGATACTTGAGTCATTTTCCAGAGCTTGTTAGGAGTTTATATCAATCAATGACTTGCAGCAGTTTGGGCTGTCCCAGTCAGAGTTGCGATCCACAGCAAAGAGCTCCTGAGCCCCTGTGGGTGTCCTTTTGTCACTTTATAGTAGAAAGGTACACACACTGAGTCTCTGGAAATAAGCTCTTTATTTCAATATCTTTTTAGAGATAGTGGAAATGCTCTTCAAGAAAAGTTTTCTTTTTTGGATTGAAAACTCAATGAGAGTCCTAACAGAAGAGAGAAAAAGTTAAAGCTCTTCTTCAAATGCCAAACAGATAAAAACCACACTCTGCTGTTCATATAATGTTGGCCCTTATAAAGATTATAATGTAAAATGAAACTCTAGGGGATGTGGGCTTGGTGGATGTGTATCAGAAGCCAGTCTGAAAATGGAGAATGTTCTTGATTATTCTGTGTAGCTCACAGGAATGACCAGAATAGAAGTACCAAGTGAATCTTGAGGAAAATGAGTCCTCAGAAGGGAAGAACACAGATGTAGCCTTGAACATTCTGGGAACTGTATAATTTCATTCTCAGTCAGGAGTTCTCAATCTTGGTACTACTAACATTTTAGGTTAAGTCTTTGGGACATCATCCTGTGCAGTGCAGGATGTTTAGTGACATCCCTGCCTCTACCCCCCACATGCCCATAGCTCCTATCCTCCAGCTGTGACAAGTAAGGATGTCTCTAGTCACTTCCAAATGTCCCCTGGGGGATAAAATCACTCCCAGTTGAAAGCCAATGGTCTAGACCTTCAACTTGGCAACACTTAGACTTAATTAAGGGCCCTGATGTTTTCTACCTTCCAAAATATTTTATGACAAAACTTTTGGGAAGGTCAGGAGACAGTAGGTTGCCAAGAAGAGATAGAGTATTAAAAAGAACGGTGTTAAACACTTCAAGTTAATAAAATGTGAAGTCATCAAGCTAATCAGGAGATAATTGCAGAGCAATTTACTAAACATTTGTTTTCAGCTGTGTACTCAGTGAGCATCTTTTGAGTTATGCTCAGTTGCATTGTGTCGTTAGTACTGTCTGGTGGAAAGGAAATAAAGCCATAAACAGACAAATTATGGATTACGAAATCCACCCCATGGGTATCTTGGAGTGACAAGGTGAGCATTCTTGTGAATTCTCAGAACTATGTACCATGACTCCTCGGGGCCTCAGCCTCCTTTCCTATTTCGTCCACCCCAACCATATTTCTCTGATCAAAGAGTGAATCAAATATCTGAAGAAATACTCTAGGGATCCATGAACATCTGATTTGGCAATGATGCAGCTACCATGTTTTCTGAGCTGTCCCCTCAATAAAGGGAAGGGTGGTGGTTCTCGGATGATGTAGTTACCTGCAGGGTCTTCAAGTCATCTGAAATGCAGCATCCTCGATGTGGCCAGGTCAGTAAGGATGACAAGAATCATCCTGAAGCCTTCAATGTTTGCATTTCAGATGGAATCATAGGTGGTATGTGGGGATGGGCTTCTGGAGGTATGTGCTAGGTATTAGGGAAAATAAAAACATGTTTGTCCTGAGAATTGAGCGATTGCTTTAAGGACAGCTGTCCCTTTAGGGAAAGTCATCTAAAGCAGACAAAGGCAGAGTTATTTTTAAACCCCATGCTTGTGTAAAGCTAGATTTGAAACTGTTTCCTCTGGTGGTTTTTCTTTGAATAGCTTGGGGGTGTCCTACCGCTTTTAGGCCCCAAGTCCACTAAGAATTAGGAAAGTTCTCTTTTCAGTTGTGAGTGCAGAGACGGGGTAATGGTGAAGGCTTGTTATAGAGTCAAGTGGAAGCCTTTCTGTGTGGTCGTGTGTGGGTAGAGGGCTTAAGTGGGTGGCATAAGAGAAGGGTTTGGGGAAGCCCTGCTGTACCTCTGCAGTACAGATGCTGACCATCCTTTGTGACAAAGGTTGTGCTACTCATGGGCTCTACGTAGTGGTGGGGGGAGCTCTGCTAATGGGTCTGGGATAATAGGAGGCCCTGCTGAGGCAAGAGGACTCTCTTGCTTTTCCAAATATCATGAGATGGAGCTCCCCTGAAGGGCAGAAGTGCCCCCTATCTTCCCATCGAGCATAGGCATGTCCTCAGATTGGCATGCTGTGGCTGATAATTGATCCTTGTCATGCACAGCACCTCTGGTCTCTTGGAACTGCCTCCTTTTTATCAGGATCAAGGGGATCATGCAGGGGCGGGACTCCACTTTGTTCTAGAGTTAGGCAGCCTATTTTCTGCTTTTTAGGATTCTTTATCTTCTCCACCAAGCCCCACAGAGGATGGGCTTGCCTGTTCTCTTGGCTTTGCCGTGTTGCTCTCATTCCCTGGATGGCAATCTCTCGCCTGTGGCAAGGGGTGCTTTGGGATAGGTATGGAGAGCAAGGCCATTTGATGGGTAGGAGTGCAGGCTCTGAACCTTGGGGCTTGGTTTTTCATTCTGGACCTGCCATTGGCTTGTCATGTAACTTGGTGTCAATTTCCTAACCTCTTTAAACTGCAGTTGGCTCATCAATAGAATAGAGATTATAAACAGTCTGTTCTCCCTCATGGGGCTTTAGCAGGATTCAAGAAGATAAAACCGAGGCAGAGGATGACATGCTGTCTGTCCCGCAAATGCTCAGTGCATGGGTCCCCTGTGAGGGCAACCACCTGGGAGGAGGGGAAAGAATGCCTGGGTTCCCAGCCCCTGTTCTCCATTCCATCTAGGGATTTGTTCATCCAGTTCTCTTTCCTCTGCAAAAATAGGGCATGCTTTTCTTTCTTTCTTTTTTTTTTTTCCTTTTTCCAGCATGCCTAATACTTATTCTCTCCAGCAGACCTGACCTTTCTCTTCCTTCTGGGTTAGGACAAATCACTTCCCTGATGTTAACCCAGCAACTTTGCTTCTGGGTTAGCAACTCCTGTTCGACCAGTGTGGAAACAGCCACTGTCTCTGTGCCCAGCCCCCCCAGCTCTCGTGGGAGCCCTGGAAGCCCTGGCTGCCAGCCTGCAGGACTGTGTGCTCCAGGCACGTGGCTGTGCCCTGTGGAGCTTGCCCAACTCTGGGTGGTGTGCTGGCTTGCCTTTTTTTTTTTCTTTTTTCTTTTTTACCTTCTCCTCCTCCCTCTTGCTTCTCTTCCCAGGAGAACTACAGCAAATGCCACTAAGCAATTGTAATCCTTACCCTGGCG